GTGAGGGGGGGGGGAGCAGTAACATCAAATAGGCTAAGCCAAAGACATAAATGAAATCCCTATAGAGTCCAAGCACAGCAGTGCACTTCGTTTAGTAATTAACGACTGTACCGACAAAAACAAAATGAATCGGGCGCTAATTATTTTTGTCAGTGGAGAAAAATCATAGAATAAAGACAAAACTGCAAATACACAAACAAAAAAGGGTTAGTCAAAACTGAATTGTGTGGTCTGGACGTACACCCCAAAATGTAGCAGTCACACATGGTATCGATGGTCCCACACGCAATCTGACCAATCTGAAAAGCCCCCTCCCCTCGCTCCCCTCCCCCTATCTCTCTCTTTGTAAATACTACCCCACACATCTATCCAAGGTAAAGAATGTTGTACACAATGCAAACAGGCCACGATATCGAAACTGAAAAGTAAAGCACATTCCCTACAACAAAGCTCAACGTTCTATCTGGAAAAAAAAAGAATTTTAAAAAATCCACAAAAAACGAAGTAAAGGGGGGGGGGGGGATTAAAGTATTTCAGTCTACTCTAAATTAGTACTTCCAGAGTTGGACACTTTGCGGTCGAGACCATCATTGTATATATTATACATATACGTACATAATATATACAAAGAGAAAGAGGTTGGAATTGCAGAGTTAAAAAGGTTCCATCCACTTCCACAATTATCCGTGATAACGCCTACAAACAAATGGAATCTTTGAATCAGAGGCTGACAAAATCTAAGACGCTCAGCCTGGAATAGAAACGAAAAGTGGCAACGGCGCCTCAACACAGTCTTGTGCTGGCACTGAGATACCAACTGAATCGAAAAGCATAACACAATATGAACTATAGCTTTCGAAAACAAGAATGCTTATAAGCGAATACAAAATGCGAGTAAGCGAAAACAAACTGCACGGTAAGCGAAACAAGGGCAAATAAAACCTTGGGCAAAATTCTTAAAGAGCTGGGCTGAGACTGGGGTGGAGAGCCACCTCACCGGAAAGACCAATAGAAATGTTGAAAGATTAAAGGAAAACACTTCCATCCTTTTCTCCAGTTGAATATGTTTTGGAAGGGGAAAAATGAAGAAGTCTAAGAAACCAAATGATGGTGTCTAAACTGTTTGCTCTCTTCTTTTGCCTCGGCCCCCGCTCTCCTCCCCCCAAACTCAAGACACTTCTTTAAAATAAATCAGCATACGTAAGAAATAGAACACCACACCCCCACCCACCCCCAATAGAGAATAAAAACAACAAACAAAACAAAAATGAAAAACCCAATTGAAAATACTGTCTAAAACAAGACAATTATTTAAAAAATATTTTTAAAAGTAATAAACCAAAACGATTTTCCCTTCAAAACCTCTTTCCCCTGACAAGTTATCAGGTAGTGATTCAATCACAAACTACATTTCCCTGTTATTATCACCAGTAAATTTATACCGCCTATGTACACTGAAGAACTGCTGGCACGCTATGAAGACACCCACGGATAAGCGAGAAAACGACAGACACAAGCTGGATGGATCCAGCCAGCCAGCCCTTGTTGTCTCACGACAAGTTACCCGCTCTTATGCAAACAAAGTAAGGAACAAATGAAAGCTGAACATCAACCTTTTTAACAAAGCACAGACTTCTGCAAAGCAGAGACGCACTCATGTACGTATTGACGTGATAAACAAGGAGACAGTTCTGTTACGTGTGAAATGAGAAACAGATCATACGATAGTATTATTTCGTATTAGAAAGCAGACCCATAATGCTGACGGAAAATCAATTAAGAGCAAAATGCAACAAATCAAATCGATTTTCAAAAAGTATTTATCTTTTTCAAATCAGAGGACTGAAAGCATGAAGAACAAGTGTGTTATTCTACTATCTTGTAACAAACCTTTGTACAGAGTAAGGAAAAATCTTTCTCGAAATAGACGCATTTGTTGCATTTTTCTTTAAATGAAATATATTGAACATACCAAGTTAAAACAAGAAAGAAAATCATATTTTTGAACTTTGTGCAAAGACACAACAGTTAAAAATCCGACAAAAATGAGTTGGTAAAAAAGTAAAGGAATCTATATTATAATTATAATTGAGGGGAAAAATACAAACAAAAACGGTGAGGACCAACGGTAGTGATACACCCAGACAAGAGTTAAAATATGAGTGTGGTTCAGGGTATACCTTTGTGCACCTCTATTTTCTCGGAGGTGCCTTGGGCGGTGATTGTCGTGGTTTTCTCTACCGTTTCCCACTTCCCGTCCTCCGATACGCGGTATGTTTCCACTATCTCCGTTATTTCCTGCTCTTCTTCTTCATCTTCTTCATCATCATCAACATCACCACTTTTTTCCTCTATAGCAGCGGCAGGGGAAATGTGATCAAAGCAATAAGTTTGACTAAAGAGGGAATTTTTAATTTTTTTTTATTTTAAAAATTGGAAAGGGACAACATCGTTTCTGACTCGTGTATCAACTTTGAGCAAATCAACTGCCCAGTGAAAGGCTCCGCCATACGTCACTTTTCCAAATGGCGTACGGCGGAGTGGTATACTGAGCAGTCGTAATGGGAGCTAGCAAGAACCTGTTCGATTAGAGCCAGTCAATACGGATCGTTTCGAGCCAAAGGAAGCAACTGCACATGTATCAATTGATACACGGGCTCAAAGGCTACTAATTACTCTATACGAAAACACTGCATGGGCTCTGGGGGTAGCATCAAACATCGGTAATAGTCACCGGCAGACTTATATTTGAGGAGAGGTTAGTAAATTCCCATAACACAGTAGTGAGTGTGAGTGTGTGAGAGAGGGAGGGGGGAGTGTGAGAGAGAGGGTGGTGAGGTGTGAGAAAGGGGGTGGGAGTGTGAGATAGAGGAAGGAGAGAGAGAGAGCAGAGAGACAGACAGACAGAAGGAGAAAGAGGAAGGAGGGAGGGAAGGGGTGGGGGGGAGAGAAGGAGAGAGAAGGGGGGAGGGGGAGGAATGAGGAGCAGGAGTCGTATGAGTATAGGTGCACCTCGTGGAACATGGGTATCCATTAAAATTATGCTACTATTAAATATGAGGGAACCAATTACAAGTTGGAAGATATGAAAATAATCGTATTCACTGGCTCAAATCGCAAGGCTCCATTCGGGGGTTACCAGCCCCTCTTTTATATTTCCTAGATACCCATCAACCTAATTTGTCTACGATATACATGTATCTACATTATATAATTCATGTTTGTGTGTGTTTGTGTATGTGTTGAGGTGTGTATGGAGGTGTGTTTGTGTGTGTGCACGTGTGCCTTTGTGTATGTGTTAATGAGCGTATGGAGGGGTATGTTTGCTTGTTTGTTCGTTTGTGTGTGTGTGTGTTGTGTGTGTGTGTGCTGTGTGTTGTGTGTGAGTGTGTGTGTGTGTGTGTGTGTGTGTGTGTGTGTGTGTGTGTGTGTGTGTGTGTGTGCGTGTGCGTGTGTGTGCACGTGCGTGTGTGTGCATGCGTGCGTGTGTGAATGTGCAAAACAAAGAAATCAAATGATATGAAAAATGAGAAGAAAAAAATATATTGTTCAGAATGGCAACATCCATTCTGATACAAGCTGGTTAGCGGCATGCTGCATAGCTCAATGCAAAAACAAAGCTGGCCTGTCTATGTGTATAGATCTAAAGAATCTAACCCTCTAACTTGGAAAGAGTATAACACTATGAAAAGTTAGTTGTATCAGACTAGCTAAAAAAAAAGTATTAAAAAAATATGTATTCGGAAGTTGAACCGTATATTCCACTTCTTCGAGAGATAAAAAGATCAACTGAGAAAAATAGAGCAGAAGGCAGCGTACAGCTGTAAAAATATAAACTCAAGACAGAAAGGCAGTGGACTGTTCTAAAACAAGCTGCAGAGAAACCGCTGCAGCCAGAGACCCATATTTATAATCATTGGCTGCAGCAGCAGTGACGTGTTTGTGAAACAGTCTGACCCCTGTGACCCCTGGAGAACAAGCCGTGTCCCAAGGTTGCCACAGACAATGATTCTATTGTATTTGACAGAGACACACAGAGAAGATTTCAACGTGTTCTGACAGGGAAATACCTCTGCACCAAAAGCTAAAATTGTTGACAAACTTTAAAAAATTGGACAAAATGTTATGTAAATGACAGTAAACCACCCTCCCCTAAAAAAAAGCTAATTGGACAGAGCATATTATTTTTTTCGTAGTCACTGATTTCTTGATATTCAGATAATCGAACGTTTAGTCCGAAAGTTGTACACAACACTACCAAAGTTTTATGAAAATAGTCAAAGATCCAGACTTCAACAAAGCCAAATTTCCTTACCTAGTATAGAATTCATTATCCTCACGAAATAGCATAGACACGTGCAGTTCGCCAACAAAGCGCATTTATGACAAAAGACCACTCAAAGCTCAAGTCGTTAGAGCAAAGCTGCAAGCTTGTGGGTATGATTTTACTTCACACTTATCCGTTGCAATTACGAAAAGAACAGACAAGTTTGCTATCAACGTCTATTTATATTGTGGTGTCCATTCCAGCGGAACACAAAATGACATTGTGTCTGATAAAAGAACAAGCTGATCAGTGTAGAATTGTTGCATTATACGGGAATAAACTCAATTATTTCAAATCACTCCGTGGTATAATAGTACAACATGCCTACGATATCAAAATTCACTGCTTGGATGACAAAGTGGAAAAATATGCCTTTTCATTTCCGTCACGGATTCTAAAAGAAAACACATGCAGGAGAACGTTACTCTGCTTTTTAACAACAGAGGAATTGGACCAAATGCACCCCCGTCACTCCACAGATGATAAGGAAATCCCTTACGAGAGAGAGAGAGAGAGAGAGAGAGAGAGAGAGAGAGAGAGAGAGAGAGAGACAGAGAGAGAGAGAGAGAGACAGAGAGAGAGAGAGAGAGACAGAGAGAGAGAGAGAGAGAGACAGAGAGAGAGAGAGAGAGAGACAGAGAGAGTGACACTTAAGTCGGCGACGCTCTTCTTTGTTTGTTTGTTTTGGGTTGTTTTTAAAAATTAATTTTCTCTCAATTCACCCCCAATAAAGTTCATTTATCAAAATGTCTCCTCACAAGAAAACATGCCCACCACTAAACTAACTAGTAAGAAATCTACAGAACAGAAGTATTCTCAGATTTAGAGGCTGTAAAGTGGGAATGTGAAGGTTAAAATGACGTAGAGGTGAGCTGTGTATATCGACGTCATCGTAAGAAGTGTAATTATGTAAAAGTCAGCATCGGTGCTTTTTTAACAAAGTTCGCCCCATGCAGGTAGCAAAGACAAAGCGAAACAAAAATGCTAGCTTTGTCAAACATTGACTCATTGCATTGGCGTCTGGAATGGAAGCATCTCAACATGTAGGGTTTGTTCCCATTGCTTGGTAAAAAAAAACGTGGGGGGCGGCGGCTCGCGCACTTCTCGCCTACCCTTAAAACGGGTTATCAGAGACGTAAGTGACAATAATGACAATGATTTTTCTCCAGTTTCAACGGTCCCAAAGTAAGCATCATCTCAGATCAAGCTGAAATCAAGGTTTTTATGTTAAAGTATTCTTAAAAGGAAAAACAAAGTCAAACTAAATCAAAACAGGTTCTAGCACAGGACAGATCTCGTCCTTCGCCCCAGACTGTCTCGCTGTGGAACAAAGGGCACAATACACCTCGCAAAGCCAACAAAGTCGCCAGCAGCTGGGGTCAAGTAAGTTCGTAGAATGCACACCAGAATTCAGCTACAACTAGTTCTACCTATTGGAAAAACTTTCCCGCATAGTTGGTCGTAACTATCCCAGTGACGTCACGACTTTGTTGATTCGGAAGGCAAGAGCAAGGAGCTTACAGTATCCACTACTGTAAACCACCGAGGAAGAGATAAGTAAAAACTCGAGAAGTGCTGCTAACTGCAAACTCACACAGGCAATGACATGCTATGTCAGTTGTGCGCGCGTGATCGCAGGGCAGATCACAGAAATGATCAGATTGAATCTATTTGCCAACAATAGCAGACAAACATTTATTTTGAAACATCTTATTCGTCAGGCAACATTGGCCTTCTGAAATTAGTTAGACTAGTAAAACCAGATTAAGTGTCTCGTGATTCATTAAAGAGATATCTGTGCTTCTTTTTTCCCCACAGTTGAAATTCAAACATTTCCTCAAAGACTTTCCGAGAAGCCAAAATTAAATTGACATCCCAGAAAAACATTACATTCAGCCATAGACATTTTTTCCTGCACTGAATAATGAGCACTTTATTTTTCTGACGAATAAGCAATTTCATGGGTAAATGTTCCCTTGCTAATGTCAAGGAATGTAATATTAGGCCATAATACATGAGTCCAGAGGTCAGTAAATACCTGCGTTAAACTTCCCTGTGGGGCTGGGAGGTGGGGTCTGCACTTCTTCATCATCTTCATACTCTCGCCTGCCCCGGTCGGGCTCGTCTGGAGAAAGCAAGAGGGGGGTCACGTCATGCTAGGGCACAACACTTCACGACACACAGACACGCCATACGAGGCATGGACGTTGAAAACATAACGACGAGAGAAGGAATAAAAGTGATACGGCTCTGAACCGTAACGTACATAAAAACAAACAATGAAAACCACAAACCACAACGACAAAGACAGCCAGACAACAAAGGAAAATGGAAAAACAAAATCCCCCCCCCCCCACCCCAGTGCCCATTCCTCCTGACAAATAATGAACAATGACGTTTAATTACCACAACCACCACCAACAACAACAATTTAAGAGTACAACATCATCCCTCTCCCAATAACCTTGATAATAAATGTCCAGTGAATGGTAGCAGTAGTAATAAAAAACATATACAACGCGGTTACACCAAGGTACAGTTGTTAACAATGTCCTTAATAATATGGTCTCACAGATACATTATGCTACATTATGCTATCTCGATTCAATTTCAAAATCTTACAAGCATACACATAGTAATGACACTATATTGGTAATGTTTAGTCTGTGTCAGTGGGAAATTAGCATTCATCATCCTGTATTCATCATCCTGTGAATGAGTACGTGAAACAAACAAATCGAAACTCCCCAGAACAAGTTCAGTACAATTATATTGTGTTAGTACGAGGGTGAAAATTAGTGGGGGGGGGGGGGGAATACAACTAGCGCTATGGAATCTCAAGCGCTAAAATCAAAGACAGTTTGAACTAAAAGGTACTTGCGTTCAACATTCCTTTAAAGAATACACATATGTTATTTAAAACTTAGTTATCATACTATTTATTCTTTTTTTTTTATAAGAAAGCTTGAACTTTTACTCACTGTCCCAATTTCCCCCTTTAAAATGTAACAATGAAATAATATTTACAAATAGGTATTTAACATACAATGTTGCAAAACGGAACTCATGCAGAAAGACAGCACAGATACCCGACCACCTGGCAGTTCTCAATGACAGATTCTGCAACTGTCATGAAACAATTAATTAATTAAGCATGCCAGTTGAAAATATAGCCGTGCTAACAAACAACACGCGGCGTGGTACAACACCACGCCACATACAGAACGTCAATAATGACGTACAAAACAGAAATACAGAGCAGAGATCAGATCGGAGGCCATATTAATAAAGAGTCAGTGCTCTGAGCTTACAGTTTCCTCTGACTTATTGCTGTACTTTGTACTTCCAGCCATAGACTTGAACTTTTCATAAATATACAATAGTATACGCAAAGTTTCTCTACTCGTAGAGAGTCTTTGGAATAAGTGTATAAAACCAGGTCACATATCATCAAGAATGGCCACAGGGCATGCTCACAGAATGACAGGCATTCATTAGCGATCTATCAGACTAATTTAAACTGAAACACAAGTGAGGTCACAGATAGCGTGGCAATCTCTGTGACCTGAACTAGGCTTCTCGCTGCATTCCGCCTATTTTTTGTTTAACAAAAACTGAAAGTCATGCACAGAGTGAAAGAACAAAATGGCATGCCACTGTAGACAAGCAGAAAAGACCAAAATGATACAAGCAGTAAAGTAGTCCAAGAATATACACGTATCGATATTACACAAGCTAGGTGAATGTATAATTCAGCTGTAAATCGCTCCCATCCGTGCACATATCTGTGCACTGTAACGCATCACTTACATGAACAGCGTACTCATACTAGAGTATTCCAGGACATATATATGTGAAACAACTCCTTTAAAACAAACGTAACTGAAGAGAACACATTGTTTAAAACAACGTAATTATATCTTAAACAGCTTGTTCAAAACAAATTGAACAATAGTGAACAGCTTGTTCAAAACAAACGTAACTTTTGTGAACAGAAGGTCCAAAGCAAACGTAACCTTGGAGAACGGTCTGTACAAAATAAACTATGTAATTTCAGTGACAATTGTCACCAAAACAAACATAATGTTGCTCGAAACTAAAAGACACACACACACGCATACATTTTACAACAGCGACATGCTTCCTTCAACAGACTCTCTTTGAGTGAGCAGAGCCGAAGTGAAGACACCAAATCGACACGAGCAAAGAGCATGCCATCATGCGGCTCTACCTGCAAAAGTCACGTGAGACTTGGGCGGCGCCGCCACGACAGTCTCTGCCTCGGCCTCCATGATCTCCTCCGGGGGCGCCTGCTGTTGCTGCAGCAGCACCTGCTCCTGTTCCTGCTGTTCTACCTCCAGGAGCTGCTGTTCTACCTCCTGGAGCTGCTGTTTCACCTCCTGTTGCTGTTGTAGCTGTTGCTGTTGTAGCTGTTGCTGTTGTAGCTGTTGCTGTTGTAGCTGTTGCTGTTGTAGCTGTTGCTGTTGTAGCTGTTGTACCTGCTCCTGCTGTTGCTGCAGCTGTGGCTGAGAGGCCTCGGTGGCGCTGACCTGAACACCGGCCCTCAGAGAGGGGAAAGCCTCGGGCGGGCTGACCTTGTCGGTGCGGAGGATATCCTCCTCCTGGATCGACTTCTTGTCTTCCTCCGTGTCTGTCCAGAGGTGATACGAGTTGGTCAGTGATGACATCATAGCGGGCAGGTGGGTAGGGGCCACACGGGGAGGGTATTTGGTATCGTTCACATTGTTCTGAACTCTCAGTTTATATTTTTTAAAATTCTTCATTTACTTCAGACTTTTGAATATAAGTTAAATCCAAGCACAATTATATACTGATATTTCAGGAATTGCTTATCGACAGTTTGCTTTTCTTCTCAAAACACTGTCCCGAAAAAAGTCATTATTCATCAATCTCTATACTCAATTTTTGAGAAATTAGACTGAGGTTGATTTTGCTCCGAGCTTCGCTTAATTTTCTGGGGGGGGGGGGGGATGGGTGTTGCATGCAATGCCTTCCCCTTTCTGAAATTTCTCGACTCCAGATTTCTAGATTTTCTATAACATGCGTTATGTGCGTGTGGACATGCACTTCCAACAGCAATAATATTGTTTAGGCATAAGCATGCTATGATCCATTGGATTTGGTATCTGAAGTGCCTGGACTATAAAATACATGCTATCGAAATTAGTAAAATCAAAAACATTTAAAATATATCAGGATGAAACAATACATCGTTCGCATACAAATACAACTTCAAATATTTCAAAAAAAGTGTCAGTACATTCCAAAAGGTCAATTAATACAACAAACAACAGAGGGATTACAATATCAAACATACGGGTCAAACAGAAAACATGGAAGCCAAAACATACATGGTAAACTGTGTCGGATATATACATGCAGAAAGTTACAACAGCAATACACCGACAGCATTCACAAAAACATTCAATTCCAATAGTGACAAAATAAATATGTGTACAGCTTCATCACAATGCAGTGGTATCGCAAACGATTCGTTTCTCAAAGGAATATGGTAAACAAGCTTCCCATACAAAGTACAAAAACAATCGTGAAATCTTTCAGTTTGATATAGAAACACCTGTTCTGTACCACCCCCCCAAAAACAAAAAAACAAAACAACAACAACAACAAACAAACAAACAAACAAACTCATACCAAAAGAAACAAGTACCTTAGAGACTAAGATCTAAGTTGATGAACAAATGAGTGGCATAGATCTAAAAGAGTAATACAATACGGCATTTTAAAACGTGTGTTGAGACAAAACAAAACACACACACACACACACACACACACACAAATCTAATACATGTATACGCAGACGGCCACAAGCATCTATCTGTAACGCCCTTCTCGCCTTTTTGAACACGGCACTAATGACGCTCACACAACAATGACGTGGAGCCTAAATCCGTCTCCTCTCGCCACCTGGGCGAGATCTTACAATAAACGCCACTTACGTCACTTCGATTGGCATCGTACCTCCCCCACCCCAAAACATTTCACGTGCGTTCCAAGTTCACCCCCCCCCCCCTCCTCCTTTTTCACCTTCCTCTCATCGCGCATTGTTTACTCACATACACACAAACGCATACCTTCCCGATCCCACAATCCATGAAGCCACTTGCCCCCGCGGTAAACTCAATGTCAGAGAACACAGGAACTGTTGTGAGTTTGGAGTAAGGACTTATAGGTGTCGCATACCAACCGCTTGCGAATTATAACATTTATAAGCAGTTTGGGCTTTGGTGAGTTTAGAATTTATCGCCTGTGGAATGGTATTCGTGCTGAGGAAGGGCATGAAAGAGGAACGTGCCTAGCCTAACATTAATAAGAACACTCAGTTTTAACCATCTCACAGGCGGATTTTAAAAAAGTCGTCACTGCATTCAGGCACGACGCCAACAGAATTAACAACGCACAAAACAGAACATTCCAACAATTGCAATTAAATTTAAACCAAACTTAAATTTGACATCCTTGCGTGCACCCAATACAAAAATTGGCTGTGCTACATATCTGCCATGAAGGACACCCAACGGCTTGCGTTTACTGCCTGCAGGCCCAAACGAGTGGAACATTCCGATGTGACTAGGCCTGCATGTACGTTCATGTAATTACTAAAGCACTGTACTGGTAGCATAGACAATTGTTTCATCGGCAAGTAACCCCCATTTTCCACAGCCAGGTCGACACATTCCCTGTCCCTGCGGCTCATATTGTACGTCCCGATTACTTTCTGAATTACTGTCATTACTATCATCATTATTTATGCAAACTATAACCATTACTGACAATAATACAGAAAAAGGTATAAGTACAAAGCCATTACACGCAGTGATATCACAATTAATGCACCATTTTAGAAAGACAAGGTACACAATATTTCATAGACAAAGTGTACTACCACTATTGTTGTTACTATTATTGTTGTTGTTGCTACAAATAACACTAAGGGCTATTCGAATAACGATAAGTGCCTTTAATAAATTTATGGGCGAAGTGACACGGCAAACACCCC